ATGGCTCATTGGTCAAAGCTTGTGATGTCGACTAATCAACTTGTGATCACCTGTTTTCCGAGATCTTGAAATGTGGTGGAATTCAGGTGATCTTGTGGTTGATAGCCATCTACTAATTTATTGAGCATGGCTCGATGGTATAGCAAGCAGTCGATGGTACATGTCCATCTTATTTTTGCATCCAAGTTAACAATAATTCAGTGAAATCAGTTTTGGTTGTCTTGGACATCGTAAGCTGATGGCGCAGTTCTTCAATATGCTCCGGTGAGCTAACTGGCAACGATTAAGGGGACATTGGCTACGTAAAAATGTTTTTCACTGGTGATGTCCTTGATTCTATTAGGCATGCTTGTGGTGGCGTATCTACAGTCGGGCAAAGGCGCTAGTGGTAGTGTACATGACCCTAGTCCCCTAGTATGCCTTCATCCGTCGGAAGTGATTAGATAACTGTGAGATCCTCAGTTAAAACTACTTCGCAGACAAATGTAAACGCAGAAATCCGGTCCGCTGTTGGAATTTTTCTAATACCCATGACGTAAATTTACTTCGCTATGGTCTTCAATTGTATTGGTAGATTCCGTGTCAGTGCCTTGTAAATTCGTCGATTAAATACACCCGTAGCTGATTCCATCTTGCGCCTGCATGTTATGTAGCCTCATAACTTAATGTGCCCTTGAAACCGGATTTCTGTTACTCGGTGGTCGAACCAGTAACTCTTCGAAGCAAGACGGCCGTGCAACATTCAATCCTTACTACGGAACGTCGCAGCACAAGGGAGGTTCGTACCCCACACAAGGCCTGCTGGACCAGCCCATTGGCTGCAAGACACAAACGTCGTCCGCACGTTTCCCCGTCGAGAGGACTGATGGACACGCTTCGGTATGTCCAGCACTAATTTCACAGGTTTCATTGATTAAAATTTTGGCAAAATACCAGCCTTTTGAATTTCTGAGCAACATAGAACTGGCTTTTTACGGAGTTTGGGCAAGGACAGTGACTGATTCCAAGCAACACTGTAGAGCAGCCAACACAAGCTCGATCTCACGAAAAGGTTTCGCGTACCTACACGGCCCAACCTGTGTTCCAAATCGAGTGAACATCAAGCTAGCTCACTATCGATGTGATCAAGCCGTCCCGAAGTAAAATACCTAGTGCTTTTACAACCTATGTCATTCCGAGCACCCCTGAGTAGAACGAACCTCCGGGAATACCTACTGAAATGATTGACCCAAGTAACACCATCGCCAATTGAAAAGAAGGGGTTAAATGCATGTAAGAGATTAACCTTGAAGATGTGAACAACAAATGTTATCCTTACAAGTTTGGGGGGCACCGTGCCGCAGCAGCACACGCATAAAAACGAGATTCTGTACAAAAGAGCACAATACACATAATTGTTTGTGATGGGAAAGGGGTTAAGAAATACCAGAAGGGAATCACCCATGCATTAAGCTAATGAAGATACATATGCTTGATTTGTCAATACAAGCGTGGCATCCCTTATTTGAGCCTCGTTACGAAGACTTCGGGTCCTCTTCCCCGGTTTCATCGTAGGCTAGCTCTTGGCCATCTTCATCCTCATCTTCTTCCTCCTCTTCGTCATCTTCTTCATCTAGAAGATCATCTGTTGAGGAAAATTAAATCAAATATTTGGAAATCTTACCCCCACTTTCGTCTGAGTCAGTGTCCGGGGTAAGGTAGAACTGCAAGGGATTAGGCCAAAGTTCATCCTTAATGCTTTCGCCGATAACATCACCGACAGCATCACAATCATCTGTGAACCAGCAAAAGAAGCTGGACTGCTGGGGATATTCCCTTTTTTGATCGTCCTTTCCGTTGCCTTTAATCTCGGTAAGGTCCATGTCAGGTTTCCACTCGATCTTTGTTGAAGTGGCCGTTGGCTCCCCCTTGTCGCCAACGTGGTATTCCTTTGTGATACACTCGTTCTTAAACCAATCGTTTTCTTCAAAGTACTAACAAACACATACACCAAGAAAATAAACAACGTACGAAATTGATCCTATAGCCAGACGTAATATCTTCGAATTCTTGAACTTCAACCGCTTTCAGAAGGGCCAAGACCTTCTCGTCCTCCTCAGTAATAAGTTTCCGCAACTGTAGGTGATTCTTGAACACTGTTAGCCAAAAATGAGGTATCTTGGCCAACAGTTCGGCACGATGTTCGTAGTGTGGCTTGCGTAACTTATTGAACTTCTGCTCAACTTTGAGAATTTCGACGCTAGCCTTTTTGTTTAGGCTGTCAATAGCTTCTTGGACAGAGTCCACGCTCTCCAAGATATCGTGATCAACTTCTACAAATGTGGCCATTATTATAGGGTGAACAAAGTAGATGTAAAAAGAGTGAACAATAACTCACCAAGCGGAAGATCAGTTGCTTCGCCGTCATAGCGGGGAACCTTGGGCTGGGAAGCCATCTTCAACAACACTAACAGCAAAATCACAGGATGTGTTCCCTTGTTCATTCAGTAAAACAAACTTAGCGATATTTTAATGTTAACGCATATTGTGTTTAATGCAAGTATTAAAATAGATTTTGACCACATAATTTATAATAATACAGACAAGCTGTAATTTTTAGTAAAATATTTGTAGTTTAGAATCAAGTTGCTACAGTGGAGATCTGCAGTAAAGGGTAAAAATTAATGCTTTTTTAAGGATCGCAATTTTGATTAGTTGACCCTTAACCTGTAATGTACTATTTTATTAAACGTAAGAACTATGACAATTTATCGTTGTAGGTGAAAGAGATATTACATTAAATTAAAATAAATATAACTAACTCTGAGCAATCAGTTTTTGGGAATTAGGGTTTTTGTTCAGCTTTCAGTCATACACTTGCATTTTGCAAAATATTGTTGAACTTACTTGTAAATCTCAAAATTCGTATCTTACATTCACTTTTGAGTTTGATTTGATGGCATCTACTGTTCTTAAATTATTTTGGGGTGATGAAGAACGATTTCCGTTTTTTTATTATAGTTTAAGATGAAAAATAATTAAATGTTTATCTTGTTGCTCCAAATAACGCGAAATATTATGTCCTACTTCCCTTGTGATCGAAAGTCAAAGTATCTTAATGTGACCACTAGTGAAAACTGGCTTTTTCATCTTCACATTGAATTTTCTGGGCTTCACACATTTGCCCAGTTATCCCACATCCCTTAGCCATTATAAAAATTACTAAGATGAAGAAACACTATATCGATTTAGAACATGCAATTCGAATTATAATTATATAAAATACAAAAATGGAATCATTTTGAAATCCAGTCCGATAATAAGAGACCTTAAATACACCTAAGATAGAACTAGTGAAAACAAATTGAGCACGAAATATAAAACATGTATTAGTGGGTTTTTAATTGCATTTAACCCTGCCATGTCCATATAAGTAGTATACTCTAAATCGGGTCGATTCTAATAAACCCCTTCTCTCTCTCTGTGTGTGTCACCAGAAAACTAGCGATTAGCGTTATCGATCATTCTCCATCATGTATATAGAAGCGGATACCTGTTAAATATGGTGAATTTTGACTGTTCCGAACTATATTTTATAACCCAGGTGCCCGAAAATTTAGTAACAATAATTTAAAGTATCGCGGTTTATGAGGCATCTGATTGTTTACCATCCAAATACTTTCAATTCTTGATTCTTACCATTTTATACACCAATGTTAAATACACTGCTCCAATTCCATCACCTTATCAAGCCACCCCGGTCATATTCCACTAACGTATTTTAAATGCGACAGTCAGCGATGGCCCCAGCGACCAGCTGTCTGTCAGACCACTGTAGAGTCCACTAAGTCCATCAATGTTGATGTTCGACCATAAAATAAAATTCACAGATATTCACAAATGATAGTTATTAATCCATCTAGCTGGGAAAAGTGTTTGCATCGTCAGATTCACATTTAGTCACTGTTGAACGAAGATTTGCTCAAATTTACTTCGGCAGTAGCCAAGAGCATCATCGAAAATACTACCAGTGAAGCACTGCCTGTCTCCATTAGCCTTTTTATTCCTATTTAATTAAATCAAATAGTTCCCATGGCCACATAAGATTAATCATTACTAACTACAAATGTTATCATTACAAGTTTGGGGGCACCGTGCCGTAGCACATGAGATTATTCATTTCATTTTGTTATAAATCTACAGCACTATATCGAATCTGTCTTCTATTTGAGCATATCAAGTGAACTAAGTAGGGGGTACTAGAATAAGCGTTTGAATAAAGGAAATTGATTAGTAGTAGTGAATCGTGTTTAGCTTTTTTTACTCTGTTTCTAAGACCACTACACACGTGCACCTAGGAACATTTCATGCCTAGGGTATTAAATAAAGTCATCCGACTGGCGTGAACTCAGAATTCGACGTACTAACATTAAGCCACCGAGGTGCATTATCACAAAAAGCATCCTCAAAATGCCGTCTATCCAGTAATTATTAAATAATGCAATAGGATCTGATTTTTACCGAAAATATGCTTCATATCGCTGTGGTGGCAGTAGTGTAAGCTTCACTTACTACAGTGGCAAAATATCTTATTAGTGCACAACGCGTACTACACCAATTTCGCATTAATTCAACTTGGGCTATCAAGTATACGCGACTGTGAATGTGTTACAGTAAGGTCCAAGTTTTACACGAAACTAATCCTACTTTAAGACTTCTAAACAGTTATTTAATCAGCATTTCTACTAATGATGATTATTAAGCTACATCCCAGTATACCATTGGACTTTCGACACGATGAGCACTCACACACACTGACTAGGAGGTGGTGGCTAATGTGTCTACTTGTTTTAATTTCTCATCTTTCCTTCAGGTTGTTTGGACGGGTTTGACTGCAATTTAAACAAGCAGCGAAATTTGTGAGTTCAATTTTTTGAGGAGACATTTGACAGCTGTGTAGTCTTTTCGACAATTTCGTGAAAAAGGTCACACAAAAATTCCCACATTAGCGTAGACCTCCGAGATTTAATGAACATTGTGTGCGAATCAAACCTATCGGATTATAATGGAAATTAAAATTTCTACAGCTACGACCGCTCTGTTACTAGTCCCTCTGCTTCCCGCATAAGTTTACACAGCTAAAGGAAGTGTTGTTCGACACCATATCAAACACCACCAACTGCTTCCAAAGCATATACGACAGACACCTTTGGCTGATCTGCCAGAGGGTTAGAACTTCCTCATTTCTCTCATGAGGCTGGTGAGGCATCTTTTAACCTAGCAACCAATATGCGGCGTCATTTCGTGCCGAGTCAAGAAAGCTGGTAGAATTACGTTCTAAGCATCCTGCATTTTCGTAATCCAAAGGAAATCCGGAAAGGACCACTTAGGGAGAAAGTAACGACGCGACATGCAACGTCTGTATGCTAATAACGTGAATCGCAGTTAGCAGTCGAAAATTCACACCAAAGAAGCAAAATGACCATGTTGTGAGTCGTGTTTATTCACACCCCTTAATCCGGTTGCTCCACCTCCTACACAGGGTTCCCCTTTTTCGCAGCATGTCGCCAGCCACGCGAATCCTCAACTCCCACTTCATTCGCACGAATATTTATCTTGGAGTATCCCCACACATGGGTCTCGGTGTTAGCGCATGTATGACTCACACATTCGAGGTATAAATACACACGTGCAAACCCCACACACGACACCAACGTGGTTGAGCTCTGAAGTAAACGGTTGTGTCCACCTCCTCTCCCCGTCTTTTTCTTCATCGTGGGTATCCGGAAACGTAACTGGACCAGGGTTAATTCTGTGGTCCGTCGTGGTTCAAGACCACACGCTGGGGCCCACAACAACCACTTCGACTGTGAGCGCAGTACCACGACCAATCATGGTGTCCGAAGCTACACGTCTGTCCACCATGGTACACGATCATGATTAGAGCAGCTATGGACGCACTCGCTCACACTAAATGTAGTGACTTCGTTCTAGAGGAGCGGCAATCTACAAGCGAGTGGTCACACCAAGGGTCGCCCTTTATTTGCGGACGCCAAGTCCTTTTATCGAAAGCCGAATACTCAGATCCTGTGCTGTTTCGAGTCCCCTGAATGCGCAAAACCAAAACACACCACAATCGCTACTGTTTCCCCACATAAGGAGCTAGCGGAGAAAGGCGCACGTTCTTCGACAACACTTACCACAAAAAAAAACAACAGAATTACACTTGCATTTAAAGCGCATAGTAATCAGCTTCACATAGTCTGAAATTATTTTTAAAAAAAAACCAAGACGGGTAAGGTGCTATTCAGCGGTTGACGGCAAACAGGTCTCCAAAAACGATTTCACATCACGGATTTCCTGAAAGGCACAAGATGCAAGGTTAAAGGGGGAGGAAATGATGCACCGCGTCTGCTAATGCACGGGACTTTGATTGAGACAGTTAAGTAACTCTGACTGAATAAGGAAACAGGGCTGGTGCTAGCAACAAACTTGTGTAAGTGGCTCTTGTTTAGTCACCAGATACAACACCCACTCTCAACTCCCAGAAACTGTAACGATTCTGGAGAGTGAGATGGGGGTATAGTGTAATAAAAGAATAGTACTTCGCGTGAGAGAGGCAACGTACGCGGTCGCCGGAGCAATGACCCATGCCAGGATAGCTCTTTAAGGTGCAATTGCAGAAGCCGAGTTTCCTGAGCACCGAGTTGGTCTGCGAGCCCAAATCGTAGGCGACCAAGGGATCGCTTTGTCCGTGGCACTGGAGAATCGGAACGGAACAGCTCGTAGCCGCGGACTAAAAGGGGAGGACAACGCAACTCAACTCCAGCATCGATAAAGTTGCTAGCCTAGGAAACTGGGTTTGACGAGGCTTTATTGGTCTATTTGTGCATCATGCTTCAGGCATTTCCCAGCACAAAATACGTCTACTCGGAGGTTGGGACGAATATGGTACGGTGATCCACCCAACATTGACAATGATGAACTCACACTTGTGTCTTGAATGACTTTTTCGTGAAGAGGAAGCCAACAGCTGAGAGCCACGAGACCGCCCAGTTTCTTGTCTCTGTTGGTGGCGCCGTAGTAGAGCGAAACACTGCCGCCCTGAGAAAAACCACCTATCACGATTCGCTCGCTCGGAATGCCCGCCTGGTTCTCGGCAGCAATCCACTTCGCAACTACGAAGAAAAGTGTGGAACGCTTTTATCGCGAGGTGGAAGTTGCACAACCTAATTTGCATAATCTAATTTTCAAAATAAAATCCGAGCGTGGTGAGCGTGACTACATTTACAACTGGCAAAATAGCATCACAGTCAAAAAATACAGGGGCGCTGGAGGTTCCTTAGAAAACAACTCCGAAAGTTTTAGGAGTGAAGCTCTGAGAATTAACGCCTAAAATCAGCATATTCAATTGCAGTGCACGTTACTTTGGGAGCAATTGCTCGGGCAATAACCGATTACAGAAAATGGCAACACAATACCGTCTTATAACATAACGAGACTGCTGATCTGTGTAAAGCCGCTAAAGGCAAGGTGGGCCAAACAAGAATAGGGTTTTGTGAAAGAATATTTGACTCGCATTAAAATAACTCACGCTCCTTGGAGGCTGAGACGATACCGGGTTCATCTTGCCTGGCGTCCGCATCGAGACCATAGAGGTCATACCTAAAAATGAAAAAAAAAAGTTGGTATTTCAAAGATTAACAGGACTTGATGGAAGCAAAAAAGCGCAACGTTGTGAGAAAGTTCCGGGAAAACTGTTTACTTTGGCTTTCGACTGAGATAATGACAAGGTGGTAACTTACCAGGCAGGCATTTCCATCCCAAAGTTTAGGCTGACAGGCATTACCTTTCTAGAAGTTTTAGGGCAAAACTGAAGCCTACTTACGCATTGGGGCAGATGATTTTACAGTAGGGTGGAACGACGTTCTGGAAAGTTTCGGCCCATCCACGCCTAGTAGTAAAAGCAAGCATATTTTTGATTTTCCGAACTTACCCGTCGTCTCCCAGTCCATGGAGGAAAATCAGCTGTAATAATAAGAATGTTAAATAATACCACAAAAGGGACGGAAAGTATAAATACGCTAGTAGAGTTTGTCACATAGCCACCATTGACACTATCTTCTGGAGAGCGAGCGAGCCTCAGAATGAGGCAGTTTAAAGGTACAAAATTTGCAAAGGACTGGAGGCGATCATAATTTCTTTGCGAAGCGGGAGAGGTCTAACATGATTAGATTTTTAAGATTAACACACGGAAAGGAGATTGCTGCCACAACCGTCGATGACCAGGAAAGAAATTAAGAATGTCACATTTGTTCAGTGCTCTAAGTACTCTCTGAATATAACAACGATTTCTTGAACAAATCATAAAATGGACAACTGCAATCTCACTCATGTCCACATCGTTCTAATTGTAGAATTTGTTGGCGCCTTTACTCCAGAAACAAATCGGATTGATAAAAATTAGTTCCCAATGTGGAAATAAGTTGTGACGACAAGCCCGAAAGGCAGATTATATAATGCATTTATGAGAAGTATCTAGGTAATCGGATTTATGAGGTTTGACGAAAAATGTATTGTGACACAAAGCCGAGAAACATAATGAGAGCATTCAGTCACTTTTACATGTCAGATTACACTAACTGCCACTATATTCACTGTTGAAAAAAACAAACTTACAGAAGCAGTTTGTCTTATTTTAGATTCGATAATTACCGCCGGGAGAAGAGACATCCCTATACTGTGCAAACGGGTTACTATGCAAAATAGGTCGGGAAAACACGAACTTACCAATCCGTGGTCAGTTTTGGTTCTTACATCTATGCTCAGTAAACAGACTAGGGCTGCCCGCATATATTTAACGTACAACTTGGCGACAATCGCACTTTAATATAAAAGAATTTATGCAATTTCAGTTTTAAGAAAAAGCGTCCTCATGATGCAGAACATGTAATGTGAAGAATTATGTAAGTTTTATGTTTAGTTCCTTCATTACATCAACGAGAATTTTTTTTGGTTTGGTGAACTGGACTAAAGTATAGGTGGAAATAGATTACATTAAATGTCTTAAAATCACTACATTATTTGAGGAACAGCTTTTGCAAAATTATTGCAGTAGAAAATGTTAAGGCCTGAATCGTCATGAAGGGGAGCGAATAAATAGGCTTATTTATGAGAGGAAAACGCTCTGCTGCAAAAACATAAGGCAGAAGGCATTCAGATGACGCAGAAAGTTAAATGTAGTCAACATTTATTCATTATACAGACTACTAAATGTGTTGTGGAAACCCATCTGTGGCGAACTATGTGTAATTTTACAGACAGTTTTCAAAAAAATATCAGTTAAAGTTTCTGAAAAAAATTCTAATGCCCAGTTAAAAAAAACAATTTTTAGTTGAGATTCCTAGCTTTATTTCTCCAAATGATGGGTTCAGAAAAATAATGAAAATATTCCGAACATGCTGAAGTATGTTAGCTAGTGTGCACTCTGCTAAAGACTAAAATTATAGTTCAAGTACCTTTAGTGAAATGAATGAATGGGTCGTCTTTTTTAGATACCTTGCTCACACGAATGGCTGTGACACTCAAAAAGCCACCCAAAGGACATTTCCACTTTTCATTGTGAGGGTAGGACAAACGGGCAGCTAGGTTTTCACCTATTCAACCACAATGTTGAATGATTCTGAGTGACCATAGAGGAAATGTGATTAAGTAAATCAATGTATATGCAATAATATCTATAATTTTTGCGCAATGTATCGAAGAATATTTAGGAATTTAATTACTGAATTTAAAATAGGAACAATCAAAAACAGAAACCGAATTTATAACTGACGAAACATCATAATTGTAATCGTTGGAATACTAATGCCATATTGAGTATCTTAAAGCTGGAATTTTTAATAATATTAAGTATTGCAATGTAGCACTATTAATGTCACTATACAACTATGAATAACTTCTAATACTAAAAAAAAAATTAGCATTTGATGCTTAATGGAGCTAAATCAAGCAGAAGTGATAAGGCATCGTATAAAATTAGAAGTGGTGTCAGTAAATTACATGTTTCTGTAAATCCAGTACAGATTTCCCAATCTAGTAGTTCATATTTTTGACATTATGTATCTCTTAGGAACTGAAAGTCGAATATGATGGCAAATTTGCTTCAAATCTTCTTTTAGGTACACAGGAAATCCTAAATAGATGCTCAACTAAAAATCCAAGAAGAAATTGGTGATGCAGATATCCTCCGATTAATAATTCACAAAAACTGTGATTTTATCGGTACAAAAAAGCAATTCAACAGACTTCACAGTTTTTAACACGGAAGAAGTTAGACAGCCACGAAGAACGTTGAGTCGATAATTTCGAGTCACTGCAATGGTAACCTCGATAGTACTAGGTCCTTCAGCGAAATAAAACTAGTTTAATTTCAGCAGCGTTTCAACTTGTTTGCTGTGTGCATAGCTATCTCGTACGATTGCTCCTATTCTTAGACTAAAATGCTCTAATTCACGATAATTAGATAATTAAAAACCACACACCATTGGAGTCAAATGTGTGGCAACTGGATAGTTTCGCTTAATTTTCTCTTCTGTTTATCAGTCTAGCAAAATTATTCCCAATACTACGTTGCTACTTCTATTTATCACACATGGAATTTTGTTTTTTAATTAAATTGATAAATTTCAAACTAGGCCTTAGTGATGAATCCAGAACAGAGAGTGTCACATTCATTCAGATTTCAAAGGAAATCACCACAGTTTTGAGCTAAAACAGTGACATAGAGTTCAGATTAGCAGCTTGTTACCAAAGATTTCCTTCAATCAATGTCGCTCCCGTACAAACTTAATACGGATGGTGTTATATCCTGTGGCCCAAAAACTGTCGCTTTGTAGTGATGTTGATTTCCAGTCCTTAATTAATGCAAGCTTCAAATAGCACGCAGATGCCAGGAAAATCTGGGTAGCTGGTCAAAGAGGAATCAGTATTTTTAAGGAATGAAAGAATGACGTAAGAAAGCTGCTTTAATTTTTATTTTGTGCAGTTAAGAAGAACAAAACCCCAGGTTTATATAATATCAACATGATTTCTAGGTTGGAGAATAGCAGAAAAGTCCCTTCAGTAATATACCTGTAATTCTGCATGAACTTAGCCAAGACTGAAATATACGAACTGCTTTAAGTTACTGACCAAATTTTTTTTAAAATCATAACAGACAGGAAAATTATTTTGATGGGAAGCACATAAACTATAAAAGTACCTTTGAAAAATAGTTTTCTGGTGTTCAAAACTGGCAATTATTTTTACGCTCATAGCCTATTTTTACAACCGCAAATCGAAATTAGGATAACTAAAACCTTTGCATGCTTTCCATGCACCTTAATTTATCTAAATGACAATCAAGAGAAACGTTTTGACAAATCTGGTGTAAATGCTTTTCAGGTTGACTGGCCATATCAATCCTGCATTTAGAGAACCAAATATACAATTTTAATTAAATATAAGACTCAGAAGGCACTTAACATGCAAGACAATTGATGAATGACGCCAAGTTCATTTGCATTAGACTAATGTTCGGTTGCAAATTATCGTGAAAAAGCCCCATTTCTATGGTATACATGTAGCAATTATTGTCTCGGAATTTGTATTAAATAAAAATAATTAAGCAGACACATTTGCTATTACAAAAAGTATGCACCCTTGGTTATAGACGAATGAAGAAGCCAGCAAAACGAAGAAGTATACCAGTTCCTCGCATCATCAGGAGCGTCTGCTTTTCAAGGTTGACAAACGTTCCGTCATAAGAGCCAGCTTATCCACACCGTCTAAGTCCAAGATTGCCTGATTTCGTAAATAGCCATGTTCTACTCTTTGTCTAACAAAGCTTCAATATCTGCTTCTATGTCCTGAAATGGGAAAAAATACGACATTATTTTTAAAAGTTTTATAGAAATTGGAGAAGATCAGATGGGCTTACAATTGGGGCTACATCTGGCATATATCGCTTATAGGGTTTGCCATGACGATCAATTAAAAATTTGGCGAAATTCCAAGTTATTTCTCTGTAAAAACAGAAACAGTCATTAAATTTATGCAGAGTATGCGAGATCTTGGGAAGGCTGACTTACTCGTGCACCGGATCAGCTAGAGCACTCTGAAGATATTTATAAAGAGGGGAGGCGTTTTCACCATTCACATCTACTTTGCTAAACATATCGAATGAGGCACCATATTTTTCTATTAAATTTTGTTTAATTACAGATTCGGGCTCGGATTCCTATAAAAAATCGCTTGTATGAATACAAAACTTACTTGAGTCTCAAACTGGCTGCTAGGAAAGGCTAAGATGCGAAAACCTCGACCTTGGTGTTTGGTATACAGTTCCTGCAGCTGTTTGCAGTTAAGTTCAGTTAAATGTCAGAGAGTGGCCAAATTCACAACCAGAGCTACTTTTCCCCTTTATTAAATAATGTGACAAAGCAGATGCATATTTACTTGTATTTTTCAAAGCTTACGGTATTTCCATCAATGTCAACTGCAGATTGGGAGTAGAACCCATCAGCATCGGTCGCCTTTAAAAAGCAAATAAATGAATAGTTATCTCAAAACCAACTACCCCGGCATCAAAATATGACGAAAAATATGGTATCAGTATCTAGGGCTTTAAGTAAAGTAACCGCATATGATAATATATATTTGTGTAAGAAATGCATTCGAATGAAGTTAAAGAAAACGTCTGTGATTACTGAGAAGGTTTTTAGATAAAAGAGAAACATAAATTAGTCAAAAATAGTAATGCTAAGATAAACGTCATAATACGAATCCAAGCAGTTTTTGTGAATGATTGCACCAAGAAGAAGTTAAATGTTGGAGTTAACCGACTCTCTGCGTAAAATGAACAACGTTAACCACAAACTCGCACAGGTTTCACCATCATGGTAGATGTCTTTTAATGATTTAAAAATCTGATTAATAGTTGACGAGCAGCATATTACATGCTTACCATAGCGGTAACACCTAACAATCGTTTTCTTAGGAATTTGTATTTGCACGACCGACACTTATTAAAACACAAATCAAATATGTCTCGCAAACACTAAAAAATTTGTTACACTTACTGGAAAGATGGCTTTTCGCATAAGACATAAGACAAAATGTATCTGTTCACTTACGGCATATGTTGAGGCACACTGCTCTGTGAATCGCATTTGGTAGTAATTGGAATTTTAAACAATATTTGATAACACATTTCTAGACAATGACAGCAGAAGAAGAGTACGTGAGGTTAAACAAAATTATTGACATGAAATAGAAGTTAATTTTGTGTTCCCTGTTCATTAACTAAATAGTGTACCAATTATTTTGGCGTATGTTTGTTTATGACATTTACATTAAATATCAGCAAATGTCAAATGCACCCACTTTACTTTCAGAATAGCTAAAATAACATTAATTATATTAATCTAGTGCCATTAAAGCTAAAGCGACATTTGCAAAAACAAAGTCATGATTAAAAATAAATGACTGAGCTAGTGAACTGGTTGTGTAATTTCCGAAAGTCCACATATAGGTTATATCCTAAACTCACGTAGTTCGAACCATATTAAGTATACTTATGTAGAAAACAAAGACCATAGTCCTTTTAGATGGAAAGGATAATAGAAATTGCTACTGTTCCCAGAATTTGAATTATCAGTTTTCTGAATTGATTTGCACCCATTATTTTCTTTTAATATATGTTAATATGTTCCATTTACAGACCAATTCTGTAATAAGACATTGTTTTATGTTGCAATTTTCGGTTGCCTTATTCTTGAGGCGAATTCAAACACCATGCATTGCCAGAGTGTAAACCATTTTTTAACGAGAAAAACCATGTTTAGCTGAAAGACTAAAGCAAAGAGTCTAGGAACAGTACAAAGAGAACGTCTTGCTTGTTAGGAGGTCTATGTTTAGTATTCGTATATTCTTTATTACTAAATCAAATGAAAAAGAAATGTGTGGAACTTACAGTCTGCCTGAAATATCTTTTATACTTGTTTGTTTACGATCCCTAGCATGAGATTGCGGTGATTCCACAATCATTTTTTTAACAATCGCTTGGTCACGACACAAATGCTGGTTTGTAAATGTGAAAGAGTAAAGCATCAAGGTTAAAGTTGACACAAATTGTAAAAACAGCAACTCAGTAATTCAAATACACGACCGCCAAAACATCGGGAGCATTGTTGCTGTTATTGTACTTATCAAGTACCGCTTTACTCACGAATGCGCAAACCCCTTGTTTTGTGCAAGTCAACGCCATTTTGACGCATAACTAATGTACATAGAGGTTTCAGAATGGTCCGAAAGTGCCCACGCATGTAGTTCGTGAGCGGTTGAGGCAAATGGGGTAAAATTAGTATTTACTGAAGCGAAAAGGCCAATTGGATAAAAGCAGTCACTGTGAAGACAAAAAGAATATAGCAACAAAGTCATGCGAATGCTGTATCTCCCAATACAACGATAAACTGTTATTTTGACTCGCTGAAACTTGTGGATCTAGAGATTGCGGCAACGCCAATAAGATCAAAATTACCATTCAGAACTCGAATTCGACGGCAATAATTTTGACAATTAATTCGTCACATATGCAATCACAAGCTTTATGAAAATCGTCATTCTTCTCTGTGGCCACTAAAAATGCACATTTTATGTCACAGGCCCGTGAATTAGCGTTTTTCAAAGAGCCACGTCACTGTCATCAGCCGCATTTCTTGCAAAGTACAATGATTGGCAGACTGTGTGTTGACACTTAACCATCTATCACGCTTACAGTGACTTCAAAATTCATTAAAAAACGGATGAAAATCTTAAATCTCAGCAGAAAATACATAGTTTGAACCTATTCTTAATTTTCATCAGCAATTAAACAGTAGCTTAGACGCCTGAAATGCGCCAATATGTCTAAAATTTACAGAAATTTGTTAGGTCTGGTGTCCTCAAATCCATGGCGACGAGGACGAAGGTAACTAAAGCAAGCTGCGTGAGACATAGCTGCTGATTTGCTGATACTGCTGCACCATGATACCTTCAAGGTTCTCAAAAAGCCATTTACCGGAAAAATTGTGTTATGGCCAGATTGTCTGGCAATTCTGCTCACCAAGTTGAACACATCAGATGTCTTATCACGAAGCGTTCTGACCAGGGAATGATTATCCTAGCTATCGAGAAGCCCCTACTCACCTGGATTTTAGAACCACTTGATTTGGTGTCGATATGTTCAGAAGTGCATTATTTAGACTCTCCGGTCTGCTGCAAGCATTGATTACGGACTAACCGAAAGGCGGGCTAATCAGGAAATGTTTTAATCATTTTAAAAAAAAATTATTGCTATCGACAGTTTGAAACTGGTCTATGGTTTTACTGACGTAGCTTGGTGTAACACTGTAACTTTCCAAATGTTGGTGGAGACAATTCGGAGAGACTAACTTACGTTCATTTTAGTTTGTCTTTGACCCACATTCACGAGGCGTGCAACCTCAATGTCTTCCAACTGATGCCTCAGATTAGTGGGCACGTACACGAAAACCCTCATCGTATTCAACGGAAATAATCGGCAGCAATATAAGCGGACCAAATTGTCTCGTTAGTAGGCGAATGTCATTAGCTAAATGAATATCATCGCGCACCGTCTCGTTCCTAAGTTAAAATGTTTATCAGCAAAGCATTTGGCAAGAGGGTGAGCAGAATTTCCAGATATTCTTGCCTAGACACACCCTTTCATTTAAATGGGATTATCAGTATCCTTCAATTTAACATGATGCAGTAGTGTTTATAAAATATCAGCTTTTTCTAGCTCAGTTTGTCACATCTAAATTTGTTCTAGTCGACATGGAAGTGAAGACAAACTACAGACTATTTCAATTCAACGCTGGCACATTTTTGCAGCTGGTGTTCCTACTTTGCATTTTTGAGCTTTGCAAGGTTCAACACAGAAAAAGTTGGCATTATTTGAACTTTAGTCTTTCCCATTTTTATGGCAAATCAATGCCGTTGGCTACTTTCAGCAAGAGTGTAAGGCCACCATGAAACCGTCGCATTCACAAATGTTTCTAAAATGATAATGTTATGAGAAGGAATGAGTCTACTGCAGCGCCCTGTACCACCCTTTTGGCAAAATACAAATGTTAGGTTTCGTTTAGAGCATTAGCAGACTCTGTTTATTGATCTCTGGTCAGGTTTTATTACCAGACAACTCCAAATATTTTAATTTGGATTGTAATACCTGGTAAGAGGAATATCTAGCTATTTTTTTATCATCGTAGATTTAGAAAATGACAATGATTTTAGTCATAAAACAGGTAAACACATGGAAAACAGGCTTCAATATTCCCATTCATACTTTATTATTTCTGGTTACATATCGTATTTATGTTCTAGCTTAATTTGGCATACACGATGTGTTTAACTGACTTTATTGCAAGGCGTGAATGTTTTTGGTGCTGCATCTCGTAGGCCATGTATTATCATTTTTGGTTGCAGTAACATTATTATGAAAATCACTGCAAAGAATCATCGTCTGATAATTTATTTAGATGCTAGGTTTTAAAGTAAAGCAACAACTGATTTTAAGTACTACTTTCACACACTGTTTCTTGTTCTATGAAGCAAACAATTGCTGTGAATAGTTTTAAAAAGCGAATTGCTTTTTAACCTAAGCTTTACATGCCAGGTGAATTAGTTTAGACTATGCACTGTTGTCCTTCTAGTTTAGACTCAACAACTGACCGATGTTTCAGCAACTCACATTTCAAGAGTCTGATCCGCTGCCTATTTGTTGACGAAAATCATGAATAAGTTCGAACTTTTTTTCAAAATCTAGGATTTTGAGTCAAAAGTAAAGATCTGATATTCTACATTTGTTTATCAAGACTCATTTTCCACTACTCGTCAAAACACTTGTAAATAACATTGCTATGAGCAATAGTGGATATGCGCGCCAGAATTTAAGTACGCCAAAATCACTCTGTCTTGGTAGATTTAATTAATTAATCGCAGCAAATAGAGTCATTACCACAATTGTAGACTTAAGCTAGTATCCTTGCTAAACCAGTACAGTTAAACAAAAGAAACAAAATGACAATTATAACACACTCATCGAATCAAAATGTGAACAAACAGAGATCGAACAATCCAGGTCAGTAGCTTGGGTAGAAATACCCTGCAGTTCTCTATTTAACAGCACGTTACAACTCGAGAAGAGAAAGGAAATAGGCTACAGAGAACACGACCGTTTTTTAGTGTCATATCAGCCAAGTGGCTTTGTGTGCGCATGAGTATGCGTGCGTAACAAGTGAATACTGACAGAAGACAATAAAAAAGGGGTTAGTCATTGGTTCACTCGGGCTATCAAACAGGCATCACTCATGCAAAGTGACTCTGTCCACTGGGATTATAACGTTGCCTTTTGAAATTAATAAACACATAATCCTGATTTATAACCAACTGTATTGACACGAGGTGCAGATAATCTTCTAATTCGACATCAATGGTATGGGATAAAATGAAGCAATAACAAGCGTTCATGAATGCTTGCATTCTGGTGTAGGCACTGTACATGTCACTGATTTATCATTTCCTATAACTTTTCTGTAGAACGCCTATGCTCACGCGTATTAGTTAAAAATGCGCCACCTCACCTTTATCGATCACTTTATTTGAGAGAGTGGTGACTTAACCCCTTTCATAAGAACGCTGCATTAACTCTTATAATCACAATGTCATTGAAAATGGGCACGATACTGGTCTGGCTTGACAATAAACCAGCAGTTAGCATCATCCAAAAATATCTAATAAAAGAACGAAAGTAAACAACTAAATCTGCCTTTTTTCCAAAAACCACAATGCTGCTGGTGATTAGCGGGATAGCAAGCTCCACTAAACTCGGCTTCCTTTCATTATAATTTGACATTTATTGGTCAATTTTCTGACAGCTTCGTTAATTGAAGTGTTGAGCCGCAACGTGAATTTAATACCACAATTTTAAAAAAACCCTTAAAGGACAACGAGCCTTATTTATAAACTAAGCAAATGAATGCAAATATCTTGAGGAAAGTAAGATAAATTTGACGTAATTATCGCGACTCAGGAGTGTAATGTAAAAAAGTACATCAAAATCAATGTAGCGTAAGGCTGTGTAATATCTTAAAATCACAGTGGCTGTCAATATTTGCGTCCTATTTTTAATTAAAATAATTTAAAGCATTGTTTGTAAACAATACTAACTTCAACACTTGCGGACGAATGCGCGTGAATTGAAAAGTAATTTAAGTAGTCCTGTGCTTACAAATATTAGTGGAGTTATCCTGAACACTAAGCCGTACAACAACAAATAGAGTAATCAGTGAGTGCATGCACCAATTACAATAAATTTCCACAATAATTCTGACAACAAAAAGATGTCACATTTTTGTTAAAAGCATTAGTGGGTTCCCTACATTTCTCTGTGGGCACTGCAAATATCATTCAGTGCAATTCGCACATTATATCCAAGGTCTGTCGAATAAACTCTCTTTATTTAGAGTAACATTACACCGTCATCTTCTTTAGCACCTGTGAAATACAACAATCAACATATTATGTGTTAATACCTGATCATTGTCCATTATCACAATGACACCGAAACTTTGCAGGAAACGAATTTGGCAGTTTTTGAGTTACTTCATGCAGAAAGTTTGAAATATATACATTATGGAAGACAAATAATCTCTCATGCTCATATTTGCCAACTTTTAAAACCATTGTTGATGCATTCGGCTGGGTTTAGTGGTAAATCTTTTACATGAGCATTCCATGCCTATAAGTCTGTTGATCGACTGAACATCCACATTTCTAGGTAGTGCAAGCATTCGCGTTTCAAAACCACCAAAATTTAATTAATTTTTCCATTGCTCTAAGATGGAAAAAACTAATTTATTTGAGTTTGTTTTTTGCCCTGTTGTCGGAAGAATCCCTGCTTCCAATTAGCTTTAATTAAAGGCGCCCATTTCTGTCTGCGGTCTGGTAAGCCTAATTTGTCGCCTGGTGGTGTACATGTCAGTATGCTTATCACTATGCCTTTCAAACGGTCTCTAATTAGTGTAGGTTTAATTTTCTTGTGGTACCTGCTCCTTTGTATTCCGTTTACTGTGTGCTTCCCCTTAGTCAATTTTGTCTAGCGCCGCTTTGTCACCTCTCAATTTCTTTCGTTAGACAGCATACTTCCCACTCTGCTGCCCTTACTCACGCTAACTACTCTGTTGTACTGCTGAAAAAGATTTAGATCGCTATCTTAATTTTGGCATCTGGATAATGTTCACGTAGTTTAAGTAGTATTTTTGTTCTCTTTTAGAAACATCATTGCAAGTAATGAATGATCTTGGCCTGCTAAAGCCAGTTTGCTTGTTTGAGCAATTGTTTAACCAGAAACTTCGCCTTAATGATGTGCCTCTTGATCAATTTGCTGATTTTTCTTGTTCAACCAATGTCATCAGTACCGCAGTTGGTTCAGCAATGGTGTCAGTTGGCGCGACTCGTGTTCTCTGTGGAATCAAGGCCAGTCGCTAACATGTGTCCTTTCACCTCCTCAATTTAATTTTTTTGCACTTTTCGTGCATGTGCCTGACAAGGGTTTTCCGTTACCTTAGTCAATATGCCATCCTCACATGAAGGTTTCTCACTAGTTGTGAAATTACGACACAGTTCCCATACGTTTTATTTGGTCGTTTTCCCCATTCTTGCCTCATTAATTTAGTAATTGGACCATTTATACTTAGAAGTATTATATGAACAAGTGTCCTCAAGCTTAACACTTGTCTTTGATAGGAAATGTCTTGCTTCATTTGATTTCTACTCTGTTATTACCAGCTTAAATTCATGCAACGGTCTAAACCTTGTGCGAAACTGTAGCTTGCTCCTGTGAATATATCAACCATGAAGAATTAAGTAGTCACCATATTTGTTATGATGTTTCTCCTTAATAAAAATTATATAATTTCTTCACCTCCGACTCGTGTTTTTACAGGTAAAGGTGCTGGCCTACCTCCCAGAAAACACGTGTCCCCGTTTCATCTGCAATGTGGACCACCTGGGCCTAGCCCATCGAGGACTACGTGCTAATGCGGCCCCTTCTAAGGAGGACCAATCTCTTGCTGTTCAGCTTGAATGGCTTCTGGGTTCTGTGGCCGTGCCCGATGCCACAAAACAACTTCTCATCTACCCAGAAGACAGTGATTGTGCTGTTGCGACGTACCTGCTCCATGTCGACGTGGCGATCATCTTCGACGATGGCTGTCTCTTGGACGCCTGCTTAGCTGCCTGTTTAGCCGCTCTTGCATCGGCCACATGGCCACGACTAGTTGTCGCATCGTCGGATTCCCAAATTGCCAGTTCTGCCGCTTCGTCTCTGAAAGTTCAGTTTAAAGAAAAGGAAGAAAGCGAAGTGGTGCGTGTGGGTTGGCGCTTGATTTCAAAAAATTATTTATAATGATTGCCCTTTATTGCAATTTTCCACAATGTGCTTGAGGGAAAAATGCCCTCGCAGATGATTTCGTTAAGGTGTCACCTTGTTGAGTCCCTGGAAGGGAGTTTGTCGTGTTTTTTTTATAGGTAAATGTCGTCATTTCTGAGTGGCCAGTGGCTCTGTCTTTCGCCGTAGTTCCACGTCCACCGCCTAACGCCGCTCATGAGCTCATTTGCCAGCCGTCCCGCAGTGAATCTCTCCTCTGGGACACCGATGCCTCAACATGCCACTTTGTACTGAACTCAGCTGGTGAGATAATCGACTTTTCAATGATTGGCGGGTTCGCCTCCTGTCTGTGGACTCTGCTGGAGGAAGCCTCAGCCGACAAAAGTTCTGACATCATCGAGGAAGCTGTTCAACGGGCGATCAAGTACGCACCAATTGTGAGAGAACAGTTGAATCCAACGAATCATAGTTAATGCTGCCCTTATTTTGTAAATAATTGCACTTACTGATATATATGCTTTGTTGAAAAATGATGATATTCCCTTTTAGTAATGATTGATGAGGCCATGATCGATGTGTGGTATTTGAGCAATTTGCCTGAATTTGCTTTCAAGCACATTTCCGTGCTTAACATGTCATCTGGGTTGGCCTCACTTGAAGAGCAGGTTAAACCTAAATGAGCTAGGGTCTTTTTTAGGGTTTTTCAGTGTTTCAAAGTGTCATCCAGTTGCCCAATTACTTCGTTAGGGCACCGATGCGCTCAGTAGGACTGTGGGATAAAATAGTGGAGATTGGTAGGCGGTGATTGTCATCCTGGTATCATCGGTGTTGGCCTGTCGTGATTCATGGCGATCACATGGTTACCAGTTGAAGCTGAACTATCATCCCTAGGCTCCTAACATTTGTAGCTTGCAGTATTGACTCGGTGTGACTGACTTAGGTCAAAACCGTTGCAAATAACACTGACATAAGATGCGAAGAGTTTTGCACCCCTAAGGGGTGCAACTCGTATGTGAGCTATTTCCGCCAGTCATTCCTGTAACCGCACACCTCGATCGGTCGTGCTTCGTCGGTTTGGTGCTTGTCTGTAGGCCACGTAGTCCCGTTGCTTCACTTCACATCCACCACCTGGTTGGTCAGCTTGGTTCAATTCGGTTTTGCTCCACACCTATTCAGTACTCAAGGTGCCTCATTCTCGTGTTCTAGGTAGATATCTGATGACAGCCAAGCTCTACTCAGTTGTTCGTGGAAAGGTATGCTTTTTGTTGTATAATGTTGTTTGGCGGTGTGCAAATGTCTTGCGTCTCGCTTAACCACCGCGTGGCCAACAACGCGTGGAACATTGTACGAACAAATTTTTTAAATACTTGTAATAATATGTCAAACAATTGAAGTGCATGCCAGGCCATCTACCTGCGATTGCTGTTGTCAGGAAAGAGTTTACTAATCTTGTTTAAACTGCAGTCTAGCAGGTTCGGTTCACGGTCAAGCTAAATCCCCATGAACACGCTTTAACGGGATGAGTGGAGGCGGTAATTCGGTATAGCGAAATAAATAGGATCAGCGTCAGGTTATATCACATTCCTATCGAAAACTGATTGCGTAGTGTCAGCTGTTGAGGCAACCATAACTCAGCCTAATGATTGGCGACTCACTTAGCCTAATGGTTATCTAAACCACTTAACTTTGGTCGGCTTAACTGTTAGTAAGTTGAGAAGCAAACAATTCTCGGATTTAAATCGGTTTCAAGCTCTTGTGGTTTGTAGCACTCGCGCTTCCATGTCCACATCTCAAACACGTGCATTTTGTGTTCTAAGGTAGTTAGCATTAAGGAGTTTGGTGCGTTCGTCAGTATCGAGGGCTCCGACAGGCAAGGTAATTCGCTAGCCTTCTATCCCTCCCAATTTCCCAGGGCTGCTTCATAGATCCTGCATTTCTAATCACCCGGTTGATGATGTGGCAGAGGTGCTGGAAGTTGGAGAGAGGATCCTCGTCAAGATAATCAGTGATAAGGTAACCGCTGCGTTTGGCACACCCCCACACACCCTCTGTGTTTCAGGATGGTAAATTGGGACTCAGCATGAAGGTGGTGAATCAAACTACCGGGGAGGATATGGATCCAAACAATCTTATTATTGCGTAAGTCCACGTGCTCCTTTGCACCACTTTAAAAGCCTATTAACTGGTTGTGGTCATTTAGTGAATTGTGAACCATGGGTGTCTAGGAAATCAACAGTGGAAATTTCTGTGCCCATTTGGATAAGTTGTGCCTCGACCTCTGTTCTCTCGGACCTTCAGACGTTACGGATGTCGCCATTTCAGGGTGTCCCTGGTCGAGTAGGCGACTGTGACGCTCTTGATTTGTCTTCCACGTGGAATTTGATTCGACTAATAACGCTTTCACGGTTATCTGCTCTCCTGTCTTGTTTTCTAGGCAGATGGAAAAGCGACGGAAAGGCGAGGTACGTGGTCAAAGCCCTATCCGCCTCGAAGCCGAGTTGAACACCGTCTGCAAACGATGCGGGATCAAGGGTAAATCGTCGGAATCGTTCATATATGCATTCACCTCCATTCAATTCTAATGAAAATCTTGATTAGACGGAATCAGCAATGAGTTTAATCAGCCGCCATGTCCTGTTGATAGGTTTTTCTTTAGTTATATCACTTTGCAGTCGAATCTAGCTGAGGTCGGCTTTACTTTGTATACTTCGAAATATCAATTGCCGTTATAACCAATCCAGTGATAGTATAGGACCGCTTCTGATAGACAGTGTTATGACCATTCAATCAAGCGTTTGCATGTTTATTTGGCTAAAGCATGTGGTCGCACTGCTTAAAACGGCACTTCTTTAACTGCATAGAGGAAGACTGTCACCTGCGGGTAACTTCTTGCATTTTGACAAAGTGACGAGTCCAAATTGCAAGCCAACAGCTGGTGTGGAAGACCACGTACTCGCTGCTGGCCCGCCCCTCCTTGCCAAGCAAAGGCTGTTTCTTTTGCGTTTGACTGTGATCACAATCTGTGGGGTCCGTTTGACTGAGAGATTGGCTGAGTTTCTTAGCACAACCATCGGGCAAGCGGCGATGGCTCGTTGGTAGTTGGTGTAGCGCCGTAGATGCATTGACCGCGAATTTTATGGTTCTGTTGGCATTCATATTGCAGGTCACCTGGCAAGTTCGTGTTTTGCCTTATCCGGTGAAACTCCGCTTGGACTGCTGCCCTCCGATTCAGAAGAAGAGACACCCAGAGCTCCCGAAACCGAAAAGGAGAAGGCAAGCAAGCACAAAAAGAAGTCAAAACACCACAAACGTCACCGGTCTGAAAGCAAGGTAGCATTGCTTGCCTTGCCGGCATGAAATGTAGAAACACTTCTACAGCACTGTTCTTCTAAACTCTTTCAGAAAAGCAAACACCGTGGAAGAAGTAGGAGTCCATTCGGGGAGAAGCCTAAGAAGGTTCGTGTCTAATTAACTTCCTGACACGCATGAATGATTACGACGCAGCGATGAAGTGATGTCGGGTTGAGACAATTCATGTAATTTTTGTTACTCTTCAGCACAGGGAATCCATTCATCGACGCCACCGCTGTCAGCCCGACCACAAGTCTCGCAAATAGGATTTGAGTGTACATGGGTACCATGCATGCAAAATAAACTTTTCGTGCTGAATTCCACCATTCTGCTGTGGTCCAGACCGCTCGCGGATGTTTTGCTAGTCGTTTGGCTGGAACAGTTAAGGCTCTTTGCATGAGATCGTGCTTTGGAAAGGCGATAGCATACTTCAAACATGGGATTTGCGTATTCCCAAGCAAAGCGGCAGTTGGCAAATGCAACGACAACGATGAGTCACCAGTGGTTTTATGAACTAATGAGTTGTTGATTATTCATTTTGCGAGAATTCAAGCCGAAATGCTTTTCGTCGTGGCGACTGCACAGACTAGCAAACGAAGATAAGAAGCACTCAGAAACTAGTGATGAAACGTTTGCTTTCGTACATTCGCGAATTCCCATTAGTGCAGTTGGAGTTTCGTAACTTTATATAGGTGGAAATGGTGTATTTCTGGTTGCAAATGGTCTGCACTGTAGCCGTGCATGAAGTACAAATTCGCATCAAGAATAATGCAACGGAAATTGTGAAGTTAACTTAAGTCCTAATATGACACTGACAAACCAGCCAATCAAAATTACTTTGTAATAAAACACTTCAGATGATGGAGCTGATAGAATAAAGACCATGAACTTTGAAGGATAGTGCAAGGGAATTAAAGTCATGGTGAAGTATGCCAGCTCCCTAATTACCACTAGCCGTGTAATCCTGTACAAGAGTAGTTTTGGTGGTTTGTTCAACTTATTTTACTGTAAATAATCCGTGATTGCGACCCTCTGGTGAACGGCTAAGCCAAATCCGCTTCCTGCGAAATTTCGGCGTCATTGCGGTAATGGACAATGCTCAAGTGTTAGCATATGATGTGTTGATTGTTGTATTCCACAAATGCTAAAGACGATGACGGTGTGATGGCGCTCTGAACTCGGCGAATTGATTTTACAGACCCCGGATATAATATGCGAACAGCCCTGACTGACATTTCTAGTGCCCACAGAGAAATGTTGGGAACCCATTAATGCTTGCGACAAACATGCTACCACTTTTTGTTGTCAGAATTATTGACAGGTTTTGAAATAATTAAATGCATCTCCTGTTAACACTTTCTTTTTCATTATCAGAAGTCTGATGCTAAAAACTCGACAGAAAGACACAACAAGCCGATTTGTCCTAACTGCAATATAAATGGTCGACTGAAAAGTAGTGTCTGACTGGCGTGCTCGCAGAAACGAAAGGCCATACTTAAAGAGCACTTGCTTTCAGTGTAAATTTAATGCAGTTGTTTTGCAATCATTTTCTTGCAACGGAATAATGCGTGTGGGAGTTTAACTCCAAAGTTGACAGCTGCGTTATGTACGATCCACGTGCAAATACATACTAATTCAGCAATCTTTTTTGGTGAATACCGGAATAATAACATAATTTTATGTAGTTTTCTGAGGCCTTCAAATGATCGTCGTGTTTTTGTAACAAAAGTTAAAATTGATTTTATTTAATGTAAAGAATTTAAATTTCCTTCACTATGCCTAAATACAAACAAAAATATCTACGACAAAACCGCATTGACAGCTACAAACGTGAGCATATTTGATCAATCGACATGACGACATATGCGTTTAAATATATTGCTGGTCATTCATTCAAAAATTAGGCCGAGTGAAAGAGCAATAATAAGGTAATCCTGCAAACGAAATTTTATTTCATTCAAGTCGGAGAAGGGAAATTAATGTGGGAGAATATCCTGGTCGTAGATTCGGGATGCAAATACAACAGAGGTTGCACACATGCTTGAAATGAGGGAACACTAAAGTTCAAATTGCTACACCTGAAATACATAGTCTACGATATTCATAAATAAAAAACATTAGCATCTTCCACCGAAGTCACCCTTAAACACAATGTGTGTTGAATTAGCCAAGAGCATAAAGGTAAAACATAAAAATTCCAAAATGTGAATAGGAATATTGAGGCTGGATTTCCATAAGCACACATGTAAGTAAAATAAATAAGGTAATTAAAATAATTTACTAATCTGAATTTATGACTGATGTCATATTTTTTCAAAGTCAGAGATGGAAAAAGGAGCTGCTAAGTTTCTGTTGCCGCATATTGGCAAATGAAGAGAGTGGATATGGTGTCATGGGGCCACATAACGTAGTCACAAATTGGTAAACTGAGTCTGCCTATGCTTTACACTATTTAAATGCAGTAAATATTCTGTTAAAAATGTCAATAAATTGTGTTGGGTAGACGAGGCTTTTACAGAATTACAGAATCCGAACTGATGGCAATGGATTGACTAATATGATAGAAATGCAGTCAAGGCAAAAATTCGTAGGTAGCTCTGTCGCATTTCAAAATGGTTTGTAAATCAGTAAACTATATTAGAATTGGAACCAACTTGTCGTTAGAAGGAAGAAAATAAGAAACCTGTAAATGTATTTTTCAATCATTCACTGCAAAAACAATACAAATTTATGCGGTCCTAGTGAACCTAAGTAGTTTAAATCCCCAAAGTTTTGCAGGAGACTACACAAGCAGATTATTTGCTAGTGAAGTTGTAAAAGTCGTTTAACAATTACACTTGCCTGTTTTGTGGTTCCGCTTAACCTTGAAAATACACCGCCATAATTTAATTTAGTAGGGTTTACTTACGTTTCAAATTACCGGTGACGTTGCGTTTCCGATATATTTTTTTTGTCAAGAGTATAGTCAGACACAGGTCTTAAGTCACATTTTTGTGTACTCTTTTTGTTCACATTTAAAATTTAAGCACAGGGTTTAAGACGTCTGCTTATTGCGCCTAATTATCAAATGTATTTCCACTCTCTTAAAGTGCATTTAGTATTTTTGCATGCTTTACAAAATCCGTTTCGCATCAACGTCTGTGAATAAAGTACATTCCTACTTCAAGAATGCAATTAGCGTGCCCATTTGCTTTACCGATTCGATTTGGAAATATTAAATAAATCAAAATCTTGCATAAAGTTAATTTGATGTCCTAATGCTAGGTTAGTGTTAAAAGTAGCCCAGCATGCTTATGTAAATCGCTCAAATTTACCGAAAATTAGGGTGATCAAGGAAGCATTAACAGAGATTATATTCTTGAGCGCAGATAGTGACACCTTTTAGAACTGCTATTTGCAAGTGTAATTAGGTATTGCTTTTAAACCTTTGTGTAGCTACACATGTTGAAAGGAAGTTGCTTGTCAAGGATGCACCTAAATATTCGTATTCCCTTTTAAAGTATACTTTTAGTTGAAAAGAATGCCACAAGTAGATAAATCATTGGTGATTGGAGTATTTATTTAACATTGCCTTGCATAATTGGTTTTGAAGTGCCTTTTTAAGCAAGCCATTTCAAAACGGCAGATTGAGTATTATCCTGGTTCTGGACTGTGTTTAAACGATTTGCCACTCAAGCCACTCTGTTACTGCTTTCAGATGTCACCGTCAACGACACAGCGCTCCTGCCAAAAGGATATTCAACAACTTTACCGGATGATAGAGGCGTCGACAGACGGTCAAGCTTCAATAATCGGAGTCACTGAAATGTCAGTGGTGATCTCGCTGCATCCCAAATTTGGTTACAATGCGCACGCTGATTTCACTGCGAAAGTTAGTGATAATATATTTCGAAGGTGGTGAGATAAGGTAGCGTGTGTTTCCTTGAAGTGTGTCAGACGCATCGAGTTTGCTTTTGTCATTATCTCGTCAACCACCAGTATCTATATTGAATGAGCTGAACCATCTAGTCAATTTGACTTCGTCAGGTGTACTTTTGCACATGTTGCCATAGTAAAGCAAGTCAGTTGAGGTGTTGCTTTATGCTTTGCATTTTTGCTCTTTATTGAGGAATGCTCTTTTGAAGAATTAGATGAGGATGATGCTACTACTAGAGGAAGGTTATACTGGAGAAAGTGGGTAATATGATAAGATCGAAGACTTTATGTTTCCGGTAAATTGGAAGCACAATGTGTCAAGCTGTCTTTGAAAACGGACTGGTGAAGGACTGAAGCGTCCAAATCAAATGCACTAATTGCACACGCCGTCTCTTGTGGTTCTTCGTCAGCATTTAACGGAAACGTATTTGCACTCAGTGCCTAAAAATCAACTCGTCAGAAGAAGCTGTCAGTGTGTTTATGCAGGGTATTTTTCAAATGTATAAGAAAAATACTACACTTAAATAGTCAGAAAAGGTACTGGTGCGTGCTTTAAATTTCTAGATGAAATGATTCGGGATTAGTAGGCTTTGAAATTGCCAGTTTAATGAACGTTCGTTAGGATTTTTTTTAATGAGTATTGTTACCAAATGCGTCTTTTGTTGAAAATGCATATTCTAGATTAGATACCCCGTGTCTTATCCGAGCGATGGTCCACAGGTGACATTCAACTCACCAATCTTCCATCCCAATATCGACAACACATCGGGCGACGTTTGTTTAAATCTTCTTAGTGAGTGGCGTAGGTGCGTGTAAGCCATACTTTGAGCAAAGTTGCAAACTCGTAATTGATTTGTTTCCCGTTTATCGTTGTGAAAATATCTGTCTTGAATAGATTTGATGTGTTTTGTGTGAGGTTGTTTTAGTCAGTAATGAGTGTGCCCAAAATAGAAATGCAAATACTTACAGTCATGTGGTTAGTGTTTGTGTTGATCCAACTTGTAGCTGTTACAATCTGCTGGATGTGGTAAAAGCTCTTCTCTACCTAATCAACAATCCAAATTTCGATTTGCCAAACAACCTGTTTGGATCCCTGAGTAACAGGAACCTAATAGGGAAGAAGACAATGCGGGTACTAGCTGGTCTGCCTGTGAACGGTGAACGGTTTGCGCCAAACAAGGCTTGGTGCGAATGGGCAAAGGCCAATGGCTGCCTTCCGACTGATGAGGATGACGATGATGCCAGTGGTGAGGGGGAGGGTGGGGTGCAGACTACGGTTGAGGCGGCTCTCCAAGATAGGAGTGATGAGCGCGACGCTGCTTTTACGTACAAGGTAGGTGACGCGGTTGTTTGTGAAGGCTTGACTAGCATCTAAACATGGAGTCGTTAGGCTGTGTCCGCCAGATTCCCTCGACAATGTTAGAGCGTAGTTTTGTGTCTTGATAGGTCGCCACGCAGTTTTTATGCCTCGATATTTGGCCGCAGAGTGTGTAATGAGGAGAATAGTATTGGTTTTCTATGCTCATCCTTCAAAAAGGCATCCCCAAGTATGCTTTGCAATTTTCGTTACTTTCAGACAATTAAATGCATTTTATTTCCTTTCTCCTGTTTCTCAATGCAGACAAGTGACGATGGAGAATGTGACGACGGTGGAGCTGTGTTCAACGAAAATGTTCTTTCTTATGCTAATGTTCGATACTCCGTGGATTCAGACAGTGAATCACGGTTATCGCTGAGCTACGGACGAGATGACGTAATGAGGAACTTCGAGGTCCAGCGCATTATTATTTCGCTTCCCACTGATGGTTCTACGGCCGGTGACCACTCGGTATTCTACTACTGTGAGCACATCGGTGATCAGTCCTGGCGGAGGGAACATGGCAGTTTCTACAGCAAGCTTCTTTCCGGCGATGTCTTGCATTCGATGCAAAGTCATCCTGAATCGGGACAGGCATCTAGTGTCTGTCCGTGGTACACCTTCTGCGAACAAAAGCGGTATTCCTTTGAATCGACCTCCACCTCCGTCTACGATATCTCCTTTTTATTTACTAGGAAGACTTTAACTAGGCCCTATTTGACCAACGACTTTTGTCCGTGGTCGTATTTCGATGGAGGAGGTACTTGGAACATCTTGGGTGGGCTATTTTGGGAGCAGCGACGTCGCAACTGGACTGCGAGCACATGTACAGAAGTCAACCTAGATGGCAATGACATGGCGCTCTTCAATACTAGTTTTTCAACGAAAGATAGTGATTCTGAGGAAGAATTTAAGGAGGAAGAGAGGAAGGAGGATGACTTTGCAGAGGAGCAGATGCAGGAGGATTGTGGCGTTGATTTGACCGATTCTGAAGAAACTGAAGAGGCAGTGTCAGCTACAAAAGAGTTATATGTGTGCGATGTAGAAGGAGCTGAAAGGGGTGAAGAATGCTTGCCAGGAGACGAAGGTGAAGAAGTGATGGAGTGTGATCTGGTCCATAATCGAGAAGAAACGTATTCATCCAGGTCATCAGGAACTTATGAAGGCGACGAAAATATTTGGTGCATTCCTTATGAAACATTCTTTGACATGGACACGATTACCAGTAGACTGCGGCCACGGTGGAGGTGGATCCTCCGTCAGACACGTTGGCCATTTCGATTTGCACCACAGCAGACTGTTGACCTGTCCATGCATGAGATTTCAATCCCGCCATGGCGGGCGAGTGCCGTACGTCTGCTATCGGATGTTCGAAATTTTTGTACAAGGAATCGCAAGACAAAGAATCTTATTCTTTTAGATCCCATGGCAAGTTTTGTGCATTTGTAATTAAGAACTAAGAGATATTTGTACGTTCTCGATGAATATCTGATAAATTGGATAATAGCACAGCGGTAGATATGCGTAGACGCACTACGAATTGAAACCATCGTGGCAAATCCACCTTTGATTAGCTTCCTAGTCTTTTGTGGTTCGTACCACAGACCAGCTAGTTAGAGCACTTGACTAGGAGCGCGTTGAGAAATGAAATTTACCGGCCATAAGCTAAGTAAACCAAAACTTCTGCATTGTGCCTTCACGGAGCAGTCAAAATGAATGTTGTGTCAACAAAGGGTTATTCTACTTAGGCCCTATCACCTCTCTCGCCACTGCTCAATCTGATGCAGCACTCTGTGCAACCGAAAGCCCACCTGAGAGGCATTCTGTGGATGACCGCAGT